GTATAGTCGTCTCCTATGCTGTCTAAAGAAGGTATTTGAAATAAACAAATCATTTGTCTTGCAGAAATCTATCATTCGAGAGAGGAAAGAAGAGGGGGGAAAAAAAGAGTGAGCTGATACAGTCTGATGAACTTGACCTATACTTATGGAGCAGCGACTCAAAAGAGGAAACAAATCCTCACAGCAAGAAACATTCACACACACACCCACATACAGACTGGATGGAGAAGGGCAGCTTGGACATTGGATACTCAGATGGGGAGGGGAGGTCTACAAAGGCAAGAGGTGACTGGCTTACAAGCTTTCAAGAGGGAACCTGGTGCTAGGGAGCATGGTGAAAGGCAGAATCTCCAGTAGGAACTATTCAATCTGTCTGGGCGGAGCTGATGAAAGGAGACATAGATGGGTAACTCGTGATACTGTAGTGAATAATGATTATCAGGACGGATTATGAGGGTTGGAAATCCAAAGGCAGAAGTTTTGTAAGAAGAAAGGGAGTGATTAATTCTCCAGGATAGGAGAGGAGGCCTCTGGGACCATCAACGGAGAAGAGCTGAGAGTGGGACCCTACCCAGAGAAACAGAGATGCCTGAGATGGAGATAGTGATGATGATGTGGAGTGATGAAGCGACTGGGGACTTTGGACCCAGAGAAAGGGACTGTGGGCTGAAAACTGGGGGGAGGAGGAGGAAGTGTAGGGGGCGGGTTTCTGGGATATACCCTTTGGGTGGTTGATGATGCATGGAGGGGATTGGAACCAAGGCAGTGAGATGATATACAATGGAATGAATGTAAAACTGAAGTTCTCCCATGTAAACTACCATATAATTCACAATAAAACATTGAAAAACAAAACAAAAACCATGTGGCGATCATGTCTGACTTCTCCTGGCTTCACAAGGGGGAAAGAGAATCAAATTCAAAATCAGCTTAAAGACGATTCCTATGAAGAAGAGGTCAGACAGGCTTCCACCCTGCAGCCTTCTTTATCCTCTTCTGACACCCCATCCCTCCACAACACTCTCTGCTTCACATCTGGGTCTGATGGTCCACTGCAATGGCCACCCAGAACTCATAACAATAGTCACGATTTTATCGTTCTTAGCTTACAGATTTTAGCCTCTAGGCCAGTCCCTTAATAAAGGCCATGCGCTGGGGCTACTGTGAGAAATCAACAGATGGTGAGGAGGGCATTTTGGGTAACAGAAGCTTTCCATTTTTATGAGGTCTCATGTATTTGTCTTTTGCTATTTGTGCTTTTGTTAGTATATTAAATAATTCAGTACAGAAAGCATGGCCTGACAGTGTTGTCCCTGCCTGTCCTTCTAAGGATTTTATGGGTTTCGTTTGTCCCTTTAGGTCCTTAATCCGTTTTGAATTTGTTGGTGTGTATGGTGCGAGGCAGGGATCTTGTTTCATTTCTCTGCGTCTGGAAATCCAATGTTCCTAGCACCACAGATTGAACACACTCTTCTTTCCCTCTTGTCAAAACTTGAACTGGTGTGGATTTTTTGCCATGTATATTCTCAAAACAACAACAAAAATAATGAAAAGAGATCCAGTGCTGACATCTGGTTGTATCAGCATCAGGGAACAGACTCCTGTCACCCCCAGGCAACTGCAGCCCTTCTTACATGCGGCAGCATGGCTGCCTAGGCTCCCACCATCACACCCAAATATCAAAGGGCATATGAGTATAATCCCTTGCCTTTTAAGGATCCTTCTAGAAGTCTCATATGACACCTCCACTTACATTTCATTGGCCTTGGCTGGAAATGTGTTTTAACTGGGCAGCTAAAAGGGTTTCCTTTCTAACGAGAGAGGGGAAAATGAACATTAGGGAGGCAGCCAGGGGTCTGACACAGCCACAGACAGAGAGAGTGGGGGAGCAGCGAGTTCCTAGAGGGAAAGCTCACGCGGCTGCTGTAGGCCTAGAGCTGACGGGGAGGCTGCACCTCCCACCCAGCCCAGGGCAGTTTCACTGAGTATCTATGGTCCTTTGAGTCTGGATAATGCTTGACACACTGTCTTGCACTCGGCTTTTCCTGCAGCCACTCAAGAGCTCATCTTGGACTCTGGCTCTCAGGACCCCCGACTCCTCATCCTGGTAAGACCTGGTGCCAACGCCACCCCCTGCTGTGAAGCCCACACTCTCCCAGGCCAGAGCCCTGAGCTTTGAACTGCTGTAGCGGCTGGTGAGACCTCACTCAGGCTCAGAGTTGGTGGTGTCTGTGTCACGGCGGATCCCCGTGGCTTGCCTCCTGTGTCTCTGGTGCTGGCTGTGTGTTGGGCACACGGTGGTTCCCCCACAACACCCCTTGAGGGACCCCAGTTACCTAGCCGAGGCCAGTCTAGGAACCATGGCGGAATCGCAGGGAGGAAGGAAGGATCTCAGTAAAACCCATGTATGCGAAGATATGTAATTTCACATGATTCCCATCAGTGAGCTCACCGCCCAGCCTGGATGACCCCCAATATGTCCAAGACAATGGCTACCACTCGGTGTCCACCAAGCTCCAGAGATGGTCGCTGATGAATTTCCCAGAGAGCTGGGTGCTGTCCAGATGGATGGGTTGGGCGACACTGGGACCGTGATGGACTGAGGGGCAGATGTAAGGAAAAGCCTGTGGCCGTGTCTGCACACCCTCCCCACAGCCCCACACGGAAAGGATACTGCCTTTAATCATTGTTGGTTCACATTCGTAATCCCACTCGATTTTACTAATCCGGTGGTAGAGCTGAGCCACGTACCTGGACCAGAAGACAGCAAAGACAGTTAGCCCCGAGCCGAGTCCCACAGGGAGCGGAAAGAAGGCGGGACACACAAAGACACGGCACACTGGCCTGTGGGACCTACACGGCTGAAGGGATGGTGACCGTCGTGTCTTCGTCCACTTCCCTCTCTTGTCTTTGGAGCTCAGCCTCTAGCTCCTTGAGTTCCTCCAGCTCTCTGGTGAGCTGAGTAGGGCAGCTGGTTAAGGACTGCTGGCTTTGGAGGGCTGTCCGCAAGCTAACTCTAGCTGTCCACATGCCGGGGCCTCTGGCTCCCAGCACATCCCCTCCGTCAGTGAACCCCAGCCTCCCCGCACACAGTAAAGGATATAGGAGGCTGGCCCTCACGCTGCTGTCCTCCCCGCTGGCCTTCTGCTGCTCAGCTTCAAGTTCCTGCACCTCAGCACCCCTCTGATGCGCCCTGTCTTTCATGTCAAGAAGGCTCTGGGCCACTTCTGTCTCCATGGTGAGGATCTCTGCTGGGCAAAAGAGAGGGTTCTTCCCCTTCCATGGAGGCTTCATCCTCCACCAGGGGAGCCTTGAGCCAGGAGCAGGGGATAGCGGTCCATCCCCCCATCTCCAATCAACACCCCACTTCCCTGACTACCTTCCTGACCTGAAGGCTTCATTTCCAAAATGCCTACCTGAGAGTTCTGTCTGGAACCCATGACAGCACTTCCTTGTCCCCAAGCAAACGTAAACACACCAAAAAGAAAAAAACTGGGAGTGGATCCGAGTCCGGCTGCTAACCTCAGGGTCAGCAGTTTGAAATGATCAGCTGTTACGCAGCAAAATAGAGAAGGCTTTCTGCTTCCGTAAAGACTTACAGCCTTGAAACCCTATACAGGGTTACTATGAATCGGAACCGACTCCACAGCACAGAACCCCAACCCCACACTGTGGTGCTATAGGATAAAGCACTGAACTGCAAAGTTGGCTTGAACTATAAGGTCAGTAGTTCAAATCCACCAGCTGCTCCTCAGGGTCTCTAGGAGTCGAAACTGACTTTACAGCACTTTGCTGTTGTAAAGTACCACCGAACTGGTTCCGAGCCATAGCGACCCTGTATAGGGTTTCCGAGGAGCATCTGGTAAGCTTGAACCGCCAATCTTGAAGTTCAAGCGGCTTTGCAGTCTGGCGCATTAACCCATGGTGCCACACCAGGACTCCTTACGGCACTTATGAACACTCCATTTATAACATCATGGTCTACCCTGTCACCCAACCAAGGAACCTGGGACTTATATTCCTTACCCAGTTAGTCATCCAGGTTAACAGCTGTCCCCCCTTCCGCTCAACTTCAGTTCCCCCCTCGTGTGCTGGTCCTTAGAGGCCTCTTTTTTTTTTTTTTTTTT